TTACTTTAAGATATAACTTTTTTCACCCAGATGTTAGAGATGTCAGCGCGAAGCGCATAATTTTTTTTTATGGGGTTGTTTGCTATATAGGAGAAAATAAAATAATTTTTCGGCATTTTTAATTTTATTTTTTGGGGTAAATCTTTTGATTTTTAAAAAATATATTATATAACCCTGCATGTTTAATTACAAAACTAAACAAATGTTTAAAATTTTTCCATCCTTCCATGATCCTATTTCTAACCATTTACTCCTCTCCCAGCTTTCACTCCCATGAAATCTGTTAAGAACACCGAAAATACGCAAAATTGTCATCTTAAAAAATTCAACCCCTCATAAAAAAAAACATATAAGAGGGGGTCCTAAACTCCCTAAATCCTCTAGAACTAACCTGATGGAAACAATCCTCTGAAGTGCCTCTAGTGCTGCTAGGACTGGAGGACTATCCGCTAATATTTCAGTATCCTCTACACCTTTAGTAGCTCCAGCCTAGGATAGATAGATAGATATATAGATAGATAGATAGATAGATAGATAGAAATACAGTCAGAAAGATAGACGTAGATATAAATATGTAGATCAATAGACAGAAATGAGATAGTTAGATGGATAGATATAAAGGTAGAAAGACGGATAAATTCATGGATAGATAGATAGAAAGAAATACAGTCAGAAAGAAAGACGTAGATATAAACATGTAGATCAATAGACAGAAATGCAGATAGTTAGNATTTTTTGTGAAAATCCGCGAATTATTTTTGTTTTGTTTTACGATGTACACAAAGAGAACATGTTCACAATTAATTTAGAAGATGGGCGCGAAGCGCCCTCTAAGGCTAGTATATTAAACTTACATTTATATTTTCTTTTCAATTGACAGTTTGTGCATTTTATGATAATTTCTCAAATTCTTTAATTAGACCTTAATTTTATTATCGGGGTTTTATTTAAAATCCCTATCCGAGTTTAAGATGTTTGACCCAGAGTTAAGGAGAGTATTTTTTAATTAAGTAAGGTTCACAGGGTTGGGAAAAGGGGGAGAAGGGTTGGATATTTGGGGGAGCAGTGGCTCAGGTGGAACAGATAATTTAAAGGGGGAGCAATGTTTAGGAAAATGGGGTGCACTGCAAGGTTGGAAACACTTTCTCATAGATTTTTTTTACTTTTAACAATATCCTGGTTTGGCTCCCCTATTATTTTGCCTTTAGAGTTGAGATAGGGGAGTGTGATACAATGTCCATAGTCCCTATTAAAAAAATGTACACCTCTATCTTTAAAGGTTAGGGTGCACATTTAAAAAAAGTAAGTACGTCGGAAAAATGTTCAAAAATAAATATTTTTACTTTTGACAAATATTAACATGTGATTTTACATCCATTTTCAAGGGCTTTTTAAATATATAAATGTTAGCCCTGTAGCTTAATTAATTAAAAAAAATATTAACCATTTCAAATTTTTTTTTCGAAACACCGACCTGCCATTAGAAAGTCCTGCACAATACCGTATGCATAAATATTTTTTTTTTGCAAAATTTTTTCACAACTATGAACTTAGAAAGTGAAGAAGTTTTAGCGTTCTAATGTCAGCCGTTTTTAAGTTATTTAGAAAAAACCACAGGGGGTGGGGGTGGATGGAAAACATCCACACCCACCGTGATAGGGTTAAGGAATAGTAATTTTAAGGATTTTTGCAATTTTTGTAATACATAGGGTAGAATACAGGACGTAAAAAGGCCGGTCGGTGTAAACAAATTTAACCCTATTTCTATAACAATAATATCAGTATCATTATTATTGTTATTGTTATAAAGCACGCAATTTGTTGCCAGTCACGAGGCGCAAAAACCTTGTGAAAATGCGCGTATAGGCAGGCTCTCTGCTGTTCCAGTCGGATCGCTTTACGTCGGGAAACCCGTCAGTCGCGGGGTGCAATGGAAACTGCATCTTTTTATTTTATAATAATTACCTCAGAATTGAAGCTAAGGTGTGAACAGAACTAGAAACCAGCTGTAACTGTTCATCAGTCAGTTGGGCCCCATGGCTAGATCTAATATTAATTTAAAATGCAGTTAGGCACCATGGTTAAATCTAATATTAAACAACAGTTGGACACCATGGCTAGATCTAATATTAATTTTAAATGCAGTTGGACACCATGGCTAGATTTGATATTAATTTTAAATGCAGTTGGACACCATGGCTAGATTTAATATTAATTTTAAATGCAGTTGGGCACCATGGCTAGATCTAATATCAATTTTAAATGCAGTTGGGCACCATGACTAGATCTAATATTAATTTTAAATGCAATTAGATTAGATCTTATATTAATATTAAAATACATAAATATATTTCTGCTAAGATTAGATCGATTTTAGTGGTATAAAAAACATTTAATATTTGAAGGCAAATTAAAAATTATGGAAAATCTGTGAAAAATTGAAAAAAATATATTTATCTGACCTGGCTCTAGACCTGGCCTGCATTGCTATAACAGAGCTGGATTTGGCGGCTCGAGGAGATACATCTGGATAATACCTCACCAGTACACACAGACANATTACTGTGTTTGTGGGCTAGATTACTTGGTTTGTGGGCTAGATTACTTGGTTTGTTGGCTAGATTACTGTGTTTGTGGGCTAGATTACTTGGTTTGTGGGCTAGATTACTTGGTTTGTGGGCTAGATTACTTGGTTTGCGGGCTAGATTACTTTGGATTGTAGGCTACATTACTTGGTTTGTGGGCTAGATTACTTAGTTTGCGGGCTACATTACTTGGTTTGTGGGCTACCTTTCTTGGTTTACAGGCTACATTACTTAGTTTGTTGCCTACATTTCTTGGTTTACAGGCTACATTACTTGGTTTGCAGGCTACATTTCTTAGTTTGTGGTACGTTACTTGGTTTACAGGGTAAGGTTATAAAGCTTCAAACCTCTAGCACAGCAAAGGCAGGAGAGGATCCAGGTTTTATATTCCCCTCCTCTCCTCCCTCCCCCAGCAGAGCAACCTCTGGGGGGATCTCCGTCAGAGCCTGGTTGGCAGGGTATATCTCCTAAAACAGAAATTTAAGGAGTTTCATGCCACTTATTTCACATCAATTTAGTATCTTCCCAAATATAAATTTAGAATATTTTTAATGTATTTATATGTTAGGAAAGGGTTTAATACTTTCTGTGCAGTGGCCATAAGAGTGCCCAAAATTATAAAAAAAAACATTCATTATTTAAAACAATTTTGTTGAATGAAGCATGAAGAAAGGTGAAATACTTTGAATGTTATGCTATGGCCAATTCTTAAGTGAGGCAGTTCTTGAAAACATCTACCTTGAGTTTAGCTCTCTTGATATCCGCAAACTCCTGCGCTGCGGCTCTAACTGCCAAAGATACAACAGACATTATTCTAGCCTGGGTTCCAATATTTTCCTGCAGATAATGGTTTTTTGTCTTAGAAATTAAATATGATCATCCGCCATATTGAAATTTGGAGTCAACCATTTTGAATTTTACTGTTGGCGATATTAAATTCATTCAACTGCCATTTTATAACTTATGATTCATGATAAATTCAAACAAAAAGTTTATTGAATTTTATTGTTGGCCATCTTAATATTTTATCGTCCTCAATATTGAATTTAAACGAAAATGTATTGAATTGAATGTACACAATAAACCCCATTCCTGAGAGAGTAGCTGCCTGTGCAGTACATTACAGAGTTCCACCAGAATACCCTTCTCTGTAGCCAGCATTTTCCTCGTTATTTCACCTTCAAGTAGAGCTTCAAGAGCTCCCAGGCAGCTAGATAACTGATTCCTATAAAATAGGTAAANGAGTGGATCAAGAATTAATCCCGATATCCACCATTCAAAAGTTTCCAGCTCTGATTACCTGGAAAGTTCTCCGCTCCTAGGACTACAGAGCGCCTCTAGGCTGACCCCCAGCAGAAGATGGAACCGGGATCTGTTTATATCCGAAGGGTCAGATTGTGATGTAGCATTAGCTGCTCCCAGCCCTGGAGGAAATTCATTTAGAGTTTAGTGAAGTTTGGAAGCACAGGGTTAACCAGTAACCACAAATCTAACGACGACCCAAAACTCATCATTTGTCGGTTACCCTTTATAATATTTAAAAGGAAGTTGTCGAAGTCATTTTTATAAAATGGATCGATAAACTAATTCTAAATAAAAAACACCTTAAAAAAAAGGGACGCGGAAGTAGTGTTTAAAGGAACCGGAACTAGTGTTTAAAGGAACCGGAACTAGTGTTTAAAGGAACCAGAACTAGTGTTTAAAGGGACCTGAACTAGTGTTTAAAGGGACCGGAACTAGTGTTTGAAGGAACCGGAACTAGTGTTTAAAG